AGTTCTAAAATTTCTACAGCTTGGGAGTTAACTTGAGATATTTGCTTCAATTTCTTCAATATTTCCCATTTTCTCACCTTAAACCCATGATCTGCAGACTGAATAATAACGCCTGCCTCAGCTGCTTCATCAAATTTCTCCTCTGTCGCCTTACTTGTTTCTTTAACTTGGACTTTGATTGTTGCATCTTTTAGTTCGATTACATCACTTGAAAATTTTCTATCCTCTTTTAACTCAGCCCTGTTATTCAATAAAGAATTTTCTTCTTTATGCTCCTCATTTTGTTGTCAATTTTGGAACCTAGAAAATTGAATGTACCCCCAAAATCTCATCTTCTTCATCTGGACATCTGGAAGATTCGTCAAAAGTTTATTTGGTATCTACAAAATCAACATAATTTACAACTTTTTCCTCAAACAAGAGTTAAGTTGATAACATGACTATCTAAAACTCTTAAGACACTTGGTAGACTTGTATCCTAACTCACCACATTCAAGACCAAAATTATAGTTCTAAAGTGGGTTTCCACACTACTTTCCAGGCATTTTGTTGTGCTTTAACTAATGTGGTGAGAGCTCAGCTCGCTTTTGTTTATTAACTAAACGAGTTGAGCTTGGACTTATAAGGGGCTTGTTTAACAAATGAGCTGAGCTCAAACACCATCGAGCTCATGGACAAAGTCGTATAACTTGTATGTATTAAGGTTTTTTTTTTTTTTTTTTTTTTTTTTTTTTTTTTTTTTTTTTTTTCCCTAGTTGGTACTCATGGTACTCACACACACATGCCTCCACCGAGATTTGAACCCCTTACCTCCCTTTGAAAAGTAGGAGCCTGGTACCGCTAGGCCACTGGCCCGTTGGTACTTGTATTAAGGTTAAATCTATTTTATCTTTTTCACAAGTTTAGGACCTAAAGCCCAGGCCCATATAACAGAATCCATTAGCTCAAAATATATGGGTCACATAATCCCTAATGTTTTATAGCCCAAGCCCATAAACCACCCGTGGAAAAATCCAAGACTATCAAATTGTTGGGTGGCGCTAGCATGATAGTGAAAGTGGGTTGCAGGATAGTAACAAATGTTAGAGCAACAAGTTTGGGATTTTTGAGAAAACTATGAGAGAGATTTTGGTGAGTTTTTAGCAAAATATCTCATGTAAGGCAGCATTTGAACCGAGTTCATGAATAGATCGGGCTCAGCCCGTTAAAAGCTCAGTTCACTTTTGTTTATTAACTAAACAAGTTGAGCTTGAACTTAAAAGGGGGCTTGTTTAACAAATAAGCTGAGCTCAAACACCGTCGAGCTCATGGACAAAGTCGTATAACTTATATTAAGGTTAATTTATGTTATCTATTTCACAAGTTTAGGACCTAAAGCCCAGGCCCATATAACAGAATCCATTAGCTCAAAGTATATGGGTCACATAATCCCTAATATTTTATAGCCCAAGCCCATAAATATTATGCAACCCTAATAATTTTCACTTTCGCTTTGCCTTCTCTTGAACGGAAGACATTACATTTCACAGGCATCAGTGCTAGGTGCCCTTCACTTCTCCACCGCAACAACAGCCATAAACCTCACTCACTGACAATTGCGAGGATCAACCTCACTTACTAATGGCTACCACGACCTAATTATCTAACAAACACACACTCTCTCTCTATAGATATATATGACACATATCTCTCTCATCTAATCTCACCATCTCTCATACTGAAATCGCATCTTCATGATGGAGATTGGGAATGACAAAGATTGTCTATGAGCTCGAGCTCGTTGAAAAACTATTGACCCGAGCTTAAACTTGCTTAGATTGAGCTCGTCCGAACACAAGCCAAATCTGGAGCACCTCCTTAGGTTTGGCGAGTTGAGCTCGAACACGCTAAAGCTCGGCCTTACTTGTTTCATTTGCAGTCCTATTCTCATGGATGGTTAGATCTATTAATTTTGAAATTTTCAAGTTCCTATAGGTGGTTACATATCTTTATCAACTTGTCTATGGACATAGGTCTTAATCAAACCATTTATTATTTCATTCTTGGTTCTATTAAAAGATTCGACTGAGAAGTGTGAAATTTTAGATATGAGTCTAAGATTGGAAACCTTATGAAAAATAGTGTTAAAGGTTAGGTCTGTCTCCAATCGTTCCCTCCTAGCACCTCGCATAGGCAGGACCAAGCTAGGATATAGCCTTTTCCTTTTTTGCACAAGGCCGTTGCAAATTTTCCATATATACATACATAAGCTTGCCTATATATTTATTTGTTTTTGTGGAGTCATATTCTGAAACCTGGTTTTGCCTAGCAGTGGCATTAGATGCTTCTTTTTAGATCCTCCATATTCATTCTAAGTCAATAATACTATTATCAGCTTCATTAAGAGAGGTATGAACTCTATTGCCCAACATTAATTAATAAAGCAAAGAATAATGACGTATGAGTTCTCTTTGCTATATGGTTCATCTTAGGGAAAGCTCGAGCTTGAAGAAACAGTGAATGGTTTTATCAATACACAAATATATAACTCACCATGAATTTCAATAGTGCTTATATTCCCACTGTAAGAATAGGGTTTAAGCTTTTCCTAGTCCCTTCTAATCAATGGACTCTTTATGTGCATGGAAGAGTGTGGTTTGCTCATTAAATTCCTACCTCTCTAACTATCTTTGAGATGTTTGGTTTTTTCTGTTAGAATGTTTTGGGTCATTATGTAATTACATATAGTTGGTAGGATCATTGTGTAATTAGCTGAGTCTTATATCTTTATATAAGCCACTGTAGGCTTAGGGTTTAATATATAAAATATACACAAAGTTTTTAGCCACCATGATCTCTCTCTCTATCTCTCTCTCTTATCAGTTTGAACATGGTATCAGAGCGGTACGAAACAATGGGAAACTAAGATTGTGGTTGTGATTGCATCTGTGTTGTTCTTGTCCAAATCGAAATCGAGATTGAGGTCGAATTTGTTCTTCACCGAAGGTTTGGCTGTCGTTCGGTTCAAAGTCGGAGGTCTGAAGCTGTCGTTGTGTTCGGCTCTTCTTGTCTGTCGTTCTTAGATCTGAAGCCCTTCGTTTTGTTGGCCGAGGCTGCCTTGGCTGTTGCGAGTTGCAAAGGAGCCTTGATTCTTCATTGCGAACCTCGGGTGCTGGAGTTTATTGTCGGTGGCAGAGTTCTGGTTCTTGCCGACGCTGATTGTGAAGGAGAAGAGTGGTGTTTGGCTGCAAGCGTGAAGTTATCCCAACCTTGGTTTACTAAAACCGGAATAGCTGAGAACTGGTTTTGATTTGGCCCATTTGCCCAGATCCAAACTGGTTGTCCAGATCCGGCCTGTTTGCCTCGATTCGGCCCATTTGCCTCGATTCGGCCCATTTGCCTCGATTCGGTTCATTTGCCCAGACCCGCCCCGTTTGCCTAGATCCGACTTGTTTGCCCGAATACAGATTTTTTTTTTTTTTTTGCATGGCTACCAGTTCAGACTTGCTTTCTTCTGCTTCCTTCAATCCTCCCATGACTTCGGTCAAACTCAATGGCAAGAACTATGTTTTATGGGTCAAGTCAGTAGCTATTTTTCTGAAAGCCAAAGGCTTTGGCTCTCATTTGGTTAAGGATAAGCCTAAAGACAGTGATGCAGATTTCAGTTCATGGGAACAAAGGGATGCTCAGATCATTTCCTTAATGCTGAATTGTATTGAACCCAATATCAGCTCCAACTTATTGTATTTGGATACTGCTAAGGAGATATGGAACCGACTCCAACAGCTATATTCAGGTATTGGTAATATCACCAGAATTTATGACGTGTGCAGACAATTCTTTGACCTCCGGCAAGGTACTCACACTCTAGCAGAGTACTTCTCACAGTCAATGGGAATTTGTGAAGAAATGAACTTATATCAGCCGATCACCTCTGATGTGAAGAGCATGCAACAACAACGTGAGGATTTTAATGCTATTCGGTTTCTCATGGAGTTGTCACCTAATATCACCAGAATTTATGACGTGTGCAGACAATTCTTTGACCTCCGGCAAGGTACTCACACTCTAGCAGAGTACTTCTCACAGTCAATGGGAATTTGTGAAGAAATGAACTTGTATTAGCCCATCACCTCTGATGTGAAGAGCATGCAAAAACAATGTGAGGATTTTAATGCTATTAGGTTTTTCACGGAGTTGTCACCAGAATATGAATCTGTTCGAGCACAGATTTTGGGTAGCCCTGCACTTCCCTCTCTTCCTGATATGTTCTCCAGACTCCAGCGTGCTACTCTATCTAGTGGTGCTTCCTGGAGTGCTTCAAGTGGTGTCATTGCTCCTCCTAGTAGTGAACGTTCTACATTAGTTGTGAACCAGGGTGGTTATCAGTCTTCTCGTGGCAGTGGAGGTCGTTTTGCTCGTGGACGTGGTCGTGGCAGAGGCAGTGACTCAAAACTCTGCAATTACTGCGGTTTTACTAATCACTCTGTCAATTACTTTTGGGATCTTCATGGGAAACCGCCACCTTCTTCCTATGCACATCAAGTAACCTCTAATGAAAGGGATTCTTCTTTCTTTGCCACACCAACTGCTTCACAAGTGGCTGTTGAGCCTGATATGGTCACAATGATAATTTCCCGTGATGAGTATGCTCAGTTTATGTCTCAACAACGGCCTTTCACCTCATCTTCCATGGTTTCCTTTGCCCAATGTGCACCTGCATGTCTCTTATCCTCTCGCCAGAGTCCCTGGATTCTTGACTCTGGTGCATCCGATCATATGACTGTTAGTTCTCATCTCTTATCTGATTTTCTGTCTGTTCCTTCCTCTCAAAGTGGTACTCTTGCTATGGCTCATCAACTAAAGTTTTGGGTGTGGGGACCACCCATCTCACCTCTTTTATGTCCCTTTCCTCTGTATTATATGTTCCTCAATTCCCTTTTAATTTGATGTCTATTATTTAAATTACTAAATCTCTTAACTGCTCCATTACATTTTATCCCTCCTGTTGTATTTTTCAGGATCTCAAGACGATGAAGAAGATTGGTACGGGACATGAAGTAGGTGGCTTGTATTACTTTGATCTTGCACCATCTTCTACGGCTCTTCAATCACCTTTGTCTCCTCTCTAGTGGCACTGTCGTCTCGGCCACCCATCATTATCAGTTTTGCAGCGTCAAGTCCCCAGTCTTAGTCGTGTTGAGTCCATGCCTTGTGAAGCATGTCATCTTAGTTAGCATTGTCGTGCATCTTTCAAACCGAGAGCTACCAACCGTGTTGCTAGTCCTTTTTAGTTAAATTCATTCAGATGTATGGGACCCAATAAAACATATTTCTATTAATGGATTTCGTTTTTTTGTGACTTTTGTGGATGATCATTCTCGTATGACTTGGTTGTTTTTAATTAAAAATCATTCTGAGTTATTCTCTATTTTTCAAATATTTCGCAAAGAAATAAAAACTCAATTTGGATGTTCCATCAAGTTTTACGTTCTGACAATGCCAAAGAATATTTCTCGGACCCTTTTGAGACTTATTTTCATGCTAAAGGCATCATTCATCAGTTATCTTGTACTTATACTCCTCAACAAAACGGAGTAGCTGAACGTAAAAATCGTCATCTCCGGGAAGTATGTCGTGCCCTTTTATTCCATATGAATGTTCCCAGACGTTTTTGGAGTGATGCTGTTCTTACGGCCTGTCATCTTATTAATCGGATGCTTTCGTTGGTGTTACAAGGGAAATCTCCTCATTCTGTTCTATTTCCCAACTCCGCATCGTTTAGTCTTACTCCTCGGGTCTTTGGATGTGTGTGTTATGTCCATAACCTTGGGCTTGGTCTTGACAAACTCGTCCCTCGTGCCACTAAGTGTGTTTTTCTTGGGTATTCTCGCACTCAGAAGGGTTATCGTTGCTATAGTCCTCATTTTCAGCGCTATTTCACTAGTGCTGATGTATTCTTTTCTGAGTCTCTCCTATATTTTTCTGATTCTACTATCCCTCTTGATATTACTCTTAAGCCACCTATGCCAACTGTTCCCTCTTTATTTCTTGCTCCCACACCTTTTCGTTCCGTTGTCCCCTTGCAGGTTTATACTCGACGACCTTGACCGCCTACTTCGCTCTGTCCATTTCCTTCAGAGTCTTCGGATCCGACGCCATCTACTTTACCTGATGATTTGCCTATTGCTCTCCGTAAGGGTACTCGGTCGTGTGTTACTGCACATCTCATTTCTAACTTTGTCTTCTACCATTACGTTTCATCCTCTTTGTCTTGTTTTTTAATCCAAAATAAGAATTTGCAGGATGCTCTTTCTAATTCGGATTGGCGCAAAGCCATGGTAGATGAAATGGATGCCCTTCACCGTAATCGGACTTGGGATCTTGTTCCCTTACCTCCGGGCTCCAAAACGGTTGGTTGTAAGTGGGTATACACTGTTGAATACCTTCACGATGGGTTTATTGAGCGGTTGAAGGCTCGTCTAGTGGCAAAAGGGTACACTCAGACTTATGGTATTGATTTCGATGACACCTTTTCCCCTGTTGCTAAGATTTCTTCTATTCGGGTACTTATTTCCATTGCTGCCAATTGTAACCGGCCGTTGTTTCAATTGGATGTCAAAAATGCCTTCTTGCATGGTGACTTGGTTGAAGAAGTTTATATGGAGCAACCACCTGGGTTTGTTGCTCAGGGGGAGTATCGTCACACTGTTTGTCGCCTTAAAAAGGCTCTATATGGATTGAAACAATCTCCACGGGCTTGGTTTGGAAAATTCTCTGAGACGGCATTAGAATTTGGTCTTAACAGATGCCAGACCGATCATTCGGTATTTCACCAGCGCACTAAAGCTGGCTTCATTTTTCTTGTTATTTATGTAAATGATATTGTGATCACGGGTGATGATTCTGAAGGCATTGCTAAGTTGAAGTTGTTTTTCCAAAATCGATTCCACACTAAAGACTTGGGTAAACTTAGGTATTTCTTGGGTATTGAAGTTGCTAGATCCAAGAAGGGTATAAGTTTATCTCAATAAAAATATGTGTTGCACTTATTAGAAGAAACAGGTATGTTGGGTGGTCGTCCAGTTGATGCTCCTATGGTTTCAAATACAAAACTTGTGTCTGATGAGGGTGATCTATTTTATGACCCGGGCAGATTTCGTCGCCTTGTTGGGAAATTAAATTATCTCACTATCATTCGACCTGATATTTCATATGCAGTTAGTGTTGTAAGTCAGTTCATGGGAGCTCCTAGAATGCCACATTGGATTGCTTTTCTTTGGATTATCTGATATCTCAAGCAAGCTCCAGACAGGAGATCTCCTGTCAAATGGTCATCTCAGGTTGGAAGGTTTTACCGATGCTGATTGGGCTGGTTCACTTTCAGACAGGAGATCTACTACAGGCTACTCATTTGTAGGAGAAAATCTTGTTACATGGAGAAGTAAAAAGCAAACGATGGTAGCTCGATCTAGTGCTGAAGCTGAGTACAGGGCAATGGCCCATACCACTAGTGAGTTGACATGGATACAACATTTTCTAAAAGAACTTGGGTTGACAATTGAAACTCCTACTCCATTGTTCTGTGATAATCAAACAGCTGTTCACATTGCATCAAATCTTGTGTTTCATGAGTGGACCAAACATATTGAAGTTGATTGTCACTTCATTCGAGAAAAAATATTAAGTGAGAGCATCTCTACTCTGTTTGTGAAGTCTGAAAATCAATTAGCTAATATGTTTACCAAAGCATTGGGTCATAATCGGTTAAGGACTATCTATTCCAAGTTGGGATTATTTGATATATATTCTCCAGCTTGAGGGGGAGTGTTAGAATGTTTTGGGTCATTATGTAATTACATATAGTTGGTAGGGTTATTGTGTAATTAGCTGAGTCTTGTATCTTTATATAAGCTACTGTAGGCTTAGGGTTTAATATATAAAATATACACAAAGTCTGTAGCCACCATGATCTCTCTCTCTCTCTCTCTTATCAGTTTGAACATTTTCAAAACTCCATGGACATGCAGAACAGAAATGCTATCCCCACTCGGACAAAGACATAACTTTTACTTGTTCAAACCAAGCAATTTTTTGTACAGTTTTCTGATTTTCAGTTTTTAGAAAACAGAAAATTGTTCTCAATACCAAGCAGGCCCATAACTCCCTAGGAATTTCAATTGCGCTCATATTCGTCACTGTAAGAATATGGTTAAAGCTTTTCCTAGTCCCTTCTAATCAGTGGACTCTTTACATACATGGAGGAGTGCGGTTTGTTCGATAAATTCACCTCTCTATCTATCTTTGAGACGTTTATTTTTTTCAAAACTCCATGGACATGCAGAACAGAAATGCGTATCCCCACTCGGACAAAGACATAACTTTTACTTGTTCAAATAGTTAATTAAAATGAAGCAAGGTCAGGAACGACAAATCTCTTTATGATTAACAGATCCATTTTGCAAGTTCATTATTGTGGGTAGTTCCTACAAAGGATCATTAACTAATGACTTGAACAATACTTAAATTCTTGATGTACATGCTACACAGTTGGTTCCCATCCTTCAGAATATATTAAGATAAGAAGAATTTACCTATTGTTGATTGAAATACAAGTTTAGTGTTAGTTCATGAATGATAGAACGATTTACAATATTCGAAGTCATGATTAGGCTCTCTCCAATGGTGCCTTTTGCCATTTTATATTATCCTCAATGCCACGAAACATGAGAAACTTCATACCTTCTTGATTAAGTTTAGGGCCCTAGGATCAGCCTGAGAGGGTTACTAACCGATGTCACACATTCGTTTGAAGTGGGAGGAGGAGTAGTATATCTGAGGTGGGAAAATATTAAAGCTGAATGGAAGTTTGGTAGAAGTGAATGATGATTTTTTGAGGGAATGTGGGAAATGTAGGGGATTATGATGGTTAAATTGAAGCTTAGATGTTCCAATGAAGATAATTTATTTACCCAAGTTTTCTACTTAAAAAGAAAAAACAATAAAGCAATAGGGACAAAATAATCCAAATCCAATTTCTTTGTAACAACTATCATCTCCAGACAAGTGGGGGTAGAAATGCACATTGGGCAGGATAATCTGACCCCACCTGAACACAATCCTATTTTTCATAGGGTTGGGCGGCGGTTTTTACAAGCTAGATCGTGTCTGGGTTGGGAAATCCCAACGTGGATTAAAATTGTGCCAAGTTTTGGTTGAGGTGGAAAGCAACTCAAGCTCGGCAACCTAATCTCAACTAGAACCTAGTGGAATTATATATATTATACACAATGGTAAAACAACATTTAGTGTGTTCCCTTACTAGTCAAGATTTTTTTTTTTTTTTTTTTCGTTTCAATCTTTTCATTTAAAATTCTTTTGATGGAAACTTTCTAATTTATTTCTTAATTTGTGTGGAGATGCCACAATTACCCAAATACATCCTTTGTTCAAATATTTCTACGTGATTGGGCTTGAGTTGAAGGTTTCAGGTTAAGGCTGGGCTAAGCCTTGAACACGCCCATCCCACTCAAGTTGTATGAAGGTTTGACAATTAACCCTAATACTACCCTGGTTCAAATATTTGAACATGATTCGGCTCGAGGTCAAGGTTTTAAAGGCTAGGCTAAACCCTGAATGCTCAGTGAAATGCCTTAATTGGATAAAATGGCGGTAAAGTGGGTTTTATATTGAATAGTGATTACATTACTAGAGGAAAAACCTCAACGCAAGAACCAAATGACTTCCAAGTTTAAAGCCGGTGCTGAGCTTGAGGCACATGGTGGGTGATAAACTTGAAGTGTAATTGACTACTGATGCTTCCAGTAGCCTTTCTCTAAATAACTGGATTTGCATGCACAGGCCTTACGATTTTGACAATTTCGGTTTTTGTGTATGTACCTGACTTGTACATGTTCTTTTGTTTTATGATCCATGCTAAATTGTGTGCTTTGATTTGATTTATAAGTTAAGTTGCTACTATAGTCATAATTTTCCCATTGTTGTTGTTTTTTATTTTTATTTTGTTTTATTTATTATTTTTATTTTTAATTTTTTTTATAGTATTAACATTTACTTATATATATTGTTGAAAGAGAGAGAGAGAGAGAGAGAATATATGAAAACGTATATGTTATTGAGTAAGTAATACAATAATACAATGGTGTTTATATAGGAGAAGCTATGGGAGTAGGTGAGTGGAGAACAAGAAAACCCTAAACATGGTAATTCTATATCTGGTAATGAGGGGTAGGTGACAACTCATACAATACTCACTGTAAACGTGTGACAACTCATACAATATTGTACAACACTCCCCCTGAAGCTGAAGAGTAAATGTCAATAACTCCCAGCTTGCTACATATAGAATCAATAGAGTCCTTGGGAAGCGCCTTAGTGAAGATGTTTGCCAGCTGTCTACCAGAAGGAACAAAAGTTGTAACAATCTCATTCGAGTCAACTTTAGATCGAATGAAATGGCAATCTACTTCAATGTGTTTAGTCCTCTCATGGTAGACTGGATTGCTAGCAATATGAATAGCTACCTGATTGTCACAATGGAGAGGAATTGGGTACTGGACTAAAATCCCAAGTTCCTGTAAAAGAGTTTTCAACCAAGTAAGTTCACAGGCAGTGTGTGCCATGGCACGATACTCTGCTTCAGCACTGGAACGAGCCACAACTGACTGTTTCTTACTCCTCCAAGTTACTAGATTTCCTCCTATGAAAGAGAACCGGCCTAATCTGCATCTATATATCCCTCAATCCGAAGATGTCCAGAAGATTGATAAAGAAGACCACGTCCAGGAGCACCCTTGAGATACTTGAAGATGCGTACAACTACCTTCATGTGAGGTACCCGAGGACTGGTTATGAACTGGCTCACAACACTAACTGCATAGGAGATGTCCAGACAAGTGATTGTGAGGTAAATAAGTTTACCTATAAGTCTCCCATACATCTCTGGATCATTGTCCTTAAGCTTTACATTAGTCTCCATGGGTGAGCTATAGGTTTCGAACTAAGATATCCAGTATCCTGTAAGAGATCAAGAGTATACTTCCGCTGAGAAAGACTAATGCCTTGCTTTGAATGAGCCACCTCAATTCCTAGAAAATACCGAAGTTTGCCCAATTCCTTAGTAAGGAAGCTAGAACTCAAGTGATGGAGTAGAACTTGTATCCCATTTTTGTCACTGCCGGTGATAACAATATCATTTACATACATCACAAGAATCACAATACCACATTTCGTTTTCTTAAAAAAGAGAGAGTGGTCAGCTTGGCTTCTGGTCATACCATGAGCTACCACCGCTTTACTAAACCTATGAAACCATGCACGAGGGGACTGTTTGAGGCCATAGATAGACTTCTTGAGATGACACACACTCTCACTTATACTCAAACCCAGGTGGTTGAGTTATATAGACTGTCTCATTAAGGTCACCGTGCAGAAAGGCATTTTTAACATCAAGTTGATGAAGTGGCCAGTCTAGATTAGCTGCAAGATAGATTATCACACAAACTGAATTCAGTTTGGCCACAGGAGAGAACGTCTCAGTATAATCAAGGCCATAAGTTTGAGTGTAGCCTTTAGCAACAATCGAGCTTTAAGACGGTCAATGGTACCATCAGGCTTTTGTTTAACAGTAAAAATCCAACGACAACCAACAACCTGAGTATCAGTAGGCTTAGGAACAAGGTCCCAAGTATGATTCAATTTGAAAGCGTTTATTTCTTCTTACACAGCTTTCCTCCACCCTGGATGAGAAAGTGCCTCCCTGTAGGACTTAGGAAGAGCAATAGAGGATAATGACAAAGAAAAATCTTGAAAGGAGGAGGACAATTTATTATACGATACAAAATTAGAGATAGGGTGATTGGTACAAGACCGTTTACCTTTCTGAACAACAATAGGTGGATTAAGATCAGAGTCTGGAGAGATGGAAGAATCTCCAGGTGTTGAAGCGACTGGTGGAAGTGGCAAGGTTGGGTTTACTACTTCAATTGTTTATGAAGAGTTGGATTGTAACATTTATATCCTTTTTGAGTGCGAGAATAACCTAAGAAAATACATTTGTGAGCACAAGGATCAAGTTTGTCTCTTCCCGGGATTATGAACAAAATAGACACACCCAAACACCTTTGGAGGAATGGAAAAAGGATTTTTGTCAGAAAACATCATTTGGAAGGGTGATTTTCCTTGAAGGACCCAAGAAGGCATGCGGTTTAAAAGATAAGCAGCAACCAGAACTGCATTTGCTCAAAAATGTTTTGGAACATGCATTTGACTTATTAAGGCACGAGCGATAGCTAGGAGTGGGCCATTCTTCCGTTCAGCAACTCCATTTTGTTGAGGGGTATCAACACAAGATGTTTGATGGATAATGCCCCTCGACTCAAGAAACTTTTGAAAAACATTAAGTTTATATTCAAGGGCATTGTCAGTTCAAGAACAAGTAATTTTGCATCAAACTGATTTTGAATTTCAGCATAAAAGGATTGAAAAATAGAGAATACTTGAGATCTATCATTAAGAATATAAACCCAAGTTAAACGTGAATAATCATCAATAAATGACACAAAATAATGAGCACCAAATAAACCAGTAGTGCGAGCTGGTCCCCAAACATCCGAATGTACTAACTCAAAAGGTTTTAAACTTTTATCAAAACGAGACTTAAAAGTAGCTTGGCGATGTTTACTAAGTTCGCAAGTAGTACAATTAAACTTGGAAAAATCAACTTAACAAGGGACCAAGGCTCGAAGACTATTTGAAGAGGGATGTCCAAGGCGGCAATGCCACTGGTAAGCTGAAGAGGAGGTGGAATGTAGAGTTGTTGGAGCAGTACTTGGCTGGAAGTAGTAAAGACCATCACCCCCACCAATCATCTTCTTCGTCTTAAGATCCTGAAAGACACAACGGGAAGGAGAAAAAGTAACTAGCAATTTAAATCTGATATGATTTTGCGAATTGACAATAAATTGAATGAAAATTGAGGGATATATAAAACTGATGAAAAAGTGAGACCCGAAGTGCAGAAGGTACCAATTCTATGAATAGATGATTTGGCACCATTCGCTACAGTAACAACCGATGGTGAGAAAACATGAGAACTATCAGAAAGAAGAGATGGGTTATCTGTCATGTGATTGGATGCCCCTAAATCAATGATCCAAGGTGTAGAAGATGAAGCATGGAGACACGTATTACCTGAAGTAACGATAGTAGCGGTGGAGGGCGGCTGATTTGCACGCTCACACTTTACCAGTTTGGTGCTGGTGATTGACCCAAGAAGATGGGATTCCTTAGTATCCATCAGAAGAGCTGCCAAACAAATGAGATATAGTAGCGAGAGGGACCTGAGATAAGAGAACCAAGATGTAGCCTAGATGAACTCGAGAGAAATTATTGAGAGGAGAGCCGAGGAGGGATCTGAGAGAGATTGCTGAGATGAGAACTGAGATTGAGAGAAAGTTGAGATGGAATCAAGATCAGAGTTTGAATAAGACTAAAAAAAAATTTAAAGAGGGATCGATTTCCGCTCTGATACCATGTTGAAAGAGAGAGAAAGAGAATATATGAAAACGTATATGTTATTGAGCAAGTAATACAATAATACAATAGTGTTTATATAGGAGAAGCTAAGGGAGTAGGTGAGTGGAGAACAAGAAAACCCTATACATGGTAATTCTATATATGGTAATGAGGGGTAGGTGACAACTCATACAATACTAATTGTACACGTGTGACAACTCATATAATACTGTACAGCATATATATATATATATATCTCTGATCAAAATGAATAACTTAAGAGTTTTTCCATCCTGAAAATGTGCATTTTAATATCATTAAGTTAAATTTCAGGCTGTATTCAAGCAGTTTGGGGGATATGGAGGTTCGGATGTTGTTGCGGATGAGGTAGAACTCCAACAGCATCAAAAGCTTGAGAAGCTTTACATATCAACACGGACCGCCAAGGTAGTCTAATCGTTTGATGGCTTCTTTGTGTGTGTGTGTGTGTGTGTGTGTGTTGTCTGTGTGTCTGTGCTATGTCTGAGTACAATCTTCTATGCCTAGTGAATCTTTACTTTCATTCTTCAGCATTTTCAAAGGGATATTGTTCGTGGTGTGGAAGGTTATATTGTTGCCGGGTCCAAACAAGTTGAAATAGGTGATTGAGCTGGTTTAGGTTTGCTGTCATTTGTTGGTATTATAGTTTTGGTTTAATGTCAAGGATTTTGATGGTCATATTCTCTGAGTGTACAATTTTTCCAACAGGAACCAAGTTGTCAGAAGATAGCAGGAAATATGGTGTTGAGAATACATGTACCAGTGGTGGTACACTATCAAAAGCTGCATTAAATTTTGGACGAGCTCGTGCTCAGATGGAGAAGGAGCGTGGAAATCTATTGAAAGCCCTTGGTACACAGGTTTGATCTTTTCTGTCCATTTTACTCTAACCAAAATGTAAGGCACTAGAAAGTTAGTTTTCATGTGCAAAACATGCTTCTTACATATCAAAAGTTACACTTCCTATTTAAATATATGTTTTTCAAGGGGTGGGGAAGAATGGTTGAGTTGATCCATGGCACAGTTGGTATACTGCCATTGAATGAATTACTATTATATCATCTGAATCTTATTAGACATTAGCGCGTGATTTCACCATTTCAATTTTTGCGGGGTGCGGGGGGTGTTGTGGTGCTGGGGAATCTTTATTAGCAATGGTTTGAGTCACACCATGGCCTTATTCCCAATGTGTGTAAATTTGCCTTATTTATGATGGCTATGATCTCGTTGCAGCACATTCCAAAATCAACACCAAATTTTATTGTTGATTTTAATTGCAGAGTGAGATTCATTTCTAATTGGATGTAGCTTAATGAATCTTCATTGTTTTTGGGTTTACTTCTGATATTTCCTGTGAATGCAAACTTAATTTCTATATGGTATATAAGCTCGTTGATGCTTGCTTGTGTATGATTGAGCCTGTATATTGTTGCCTCACAGGTTTAGATTTTTATTTATATTTTATTTATTTTTGTTGGTGGGGTAATGGAATGGACCCAAAATATCTTTTTTGGGGAAGTGCGTGCAAGTGGCAACCTTACCTTGGCTTGAGAAATTGTTAGGAATACGAGAGATACTTGATTTAATCTTGTTATGTAGTTCTTAAATGTATGAAAATATAACTAAGAAAAAAGAATAAAGTGGGGGTGTTTCTTAAAGAGTTGAGTAGAAATCTGGAGCTCATGCCATTGTACATAATTTAGGATCTGGGGTCATTTTAATATTATGGAGACATACGAAGTGGGCTATTAAATGAAAAGCTGTAATGGGCCATTGCATGATAACCAATTTTTTGAACTTAGGTTATTGCATGATTTTGAAAACCTGGGCATGGGTGTTTTTTTGAATAAGCAAGGTCACAGAAGAGATTAAAGGAAACCTGGGTACAGGGCTTTGACTAACCTTTTTTTTTTTTTTTTTTTTTTTTTTTCTTGTGTGTGTGTGTGTGTGTGTGTGTGGTTGGGGGAGCGGAGGGTGGGCTGAGTGCCTGGATGGCAACTACTCTGGGAAACTAGTAGGACGTTTAGTAGTTTGTTACCATCAAAACACTTGCTTTAATGAATTTTGAGTTGCTCTCTCCTAATGAGATTCACTGATTTAATCATCAGGTTTCATCAAGTCAAAAATTCTCCTGCTGAAAGTTGAATAAAAAGGAATAATATAATACAAATGCTTCATAGAAAACATTTTTAGTGCTAATCTAAGTTTAAGAGTTGGTCTTTCTAGTTGGCTAGCACAACATTTCTTCAACCATATGGGAGTCACTCTGTTATTATCAAATCATGAATTGAAGGGCTGGCCGCTATGAATATTCTCTCCCATACTGATGTTTCGGGTGCTAACGAATGAGCCCGTTAGGGCCCGCACCCCCAGAGCCACAAGAAAGCATCCGTCGGCAAAGCTTAAGGGGGAGTATATAATCCGCTGCTGATATGAGAAGGCCAATAGCACTGGTGAGGCTATTCCTTGAAGAGGAAGTTGGGGGCCTAATAGCTTTCCCTACTTCAAAAGCTGGGCCATAGTCAACGTGGCAGTATTTGGATTTTAATCCAATACATAGATATTGATGATGTCTCAAATGAGTCATTCGACTCATTTCAAGTATTAGTGAAATCTTAGCGTATTAGCATAATTCAATGTGGAAACTGTCATGCACTAGTATAGTGTGACTTAACCTATATTAGGTTAGTTTTATCCAGCGTTGCAATTTTTTTTCTTTCTTTTTTCCCTTTTCTAAGGAAAAGTGAATAACAAGGAAGAGAGGTTTTTTACGAATATTTAAAATTTCAAGATGATTCTTTTTTCCTCAAATTATTACATTAAATGGTATAATTAATGATTTCTTTTGGTAAGTGGTAGAATTATTAATTAAATATATATGTCTTTTCTTGCTGCAGGAGGATATTGCTCCTTAGTCTTTATTTAAATTTGGACACTTTTGGGATTATATCAAGTATTTAATATCTGAATTCTATGCAGTTGTGTTGTGCCATAGACTGACATGGCACATCAAGTGGGCATTTTTTTAATGGATAAATGATACCTTCCCAATCCTTTATATAGAATGAGTTCACTTTTCTTTTGATAATTAAGTGTATCATTAAAGCATAAAAATAGTTTATATTATCTCAATAATATAATGATATATTTGTGTAGCATGCACACACACACACCCACCCCCCCACACACACACATATTGGTAAGCATGTCACATATATTGGTTTGTATGGAATTGCATCAGTTGTAACAAGTCATACCAAGGTCCACTGGTTGATTGAATTATCTATGAGTGACTGAGTGCTTTAAAAAAGTTAGATATCCTATAAGCCTGCCCATATACTCTTCGTGACATACCTATAAAATCAATAGCTGACATTGCACAGGAGCGTATGGAACTTTTGAAAAGGGAACAAGTTACCCTTAGAATTTTCTGAAAGACTGTTTGTGGTTTCAATATAAAGTCAGTGACTCAATTTGCTATAATACAATCAAGTAATTTCAACTTCTTTAGATTGATTGATTGATTGATTTAGGGATCTGATTGATTGATTTTTCAACAAACAGCTCTACATAGCAAAGAACTCTTGTAGCTGACTGTTGACATAGGTTTTGTTGAGTGGAATCATTGACAGATTATCAACTTTAGATGATATGTTTATATATATTCTCCTGTAGTTTGTTCCGTCCACCTGGCTTATTTATGTGATTGAAACCTTAAGATGAATTCTGAAGCCCTATATTTCTCATTGATTTTGGCAAAAGGTTTTTGCTATTGTTGGTATGAAGTAGTTCCGGCTTAAATTGCCCTATGTTATCAAGCTATCAGCCTAGAGAAGAAAGATAACGAGTAGGAAAAGAACTCTGCCTAATAAAATTCGCTCTTCTTAATGTGAATCATATCTATACTCATTATGTCGCTTGCCATCTTCCTAGAAATCAAAGGCATTTCTTTTAAATGCTTGACACGCATTTCAATATCTCATTTACCAGGTTGCAGAGCCATTAAGAGCGATGGTAGTGGGAGCTCCATTGGAAGATGCTCGGCATCTTGCTCAACGGTATGATAGAATGCGACAAGAGGCGGAGGCTCAGGTATTTATTGTGATGGATAATTTTTTTGTAAAAATTTCTAATGCTGATATCTTTTCATATCCCAGTGCTTTTTTCACTTTCTTTCTCAGTCATGGTCTTATATTATTGAGTTGTTTGGTCTCTCTGTCTCTGTCTCTGTCTCGCTTTCTCTTTTTGTTATGCATAATAAGATGATTAAGCATGCATGTTTGAACAACCAAGTATACTCCTACAAGCTTGTAATTTTATTTTCTCTTGAACCTAGATAGGCTATTGAAGTTTCCAAACGGCAAGCAAAAGTTAGAGAAGCAATGGGTAACCCTGAGATTGTTTCGAAACTTGAAGCCGCAGAAACAAAGCTGCAAGACCTGAAATCAAACACGGCAATATTGGGGAAAGAAGCTGCTGCAGCAATGACAGCTGTTGAAGCTCAACAACAGAGGTTGACCCTCCAGCGACTTATTGCCATGGTAATACACCACTACCTCTTTTTGTACATGTGCATGATTTTAAAATTTGTACTAAGGTGATTGTTGCTCTGTTTTGAAGATTGAATCTGAACGTGCTTACCATCAGAGAGCTCTTCAGATACTCGATCAGCTTGAAGGCGAGGTATGAAGCATTGTCACCAAGAAACTTGCTTTCATTATCTCTCTCTCTCTGCTGATGAAGCTGCTGCTTTTTATTTTATTTTTTGTGTGTGCGCGTGGGCTTTCTGCTTCACATATTCATGACATGCCATGCTCTTTTTGTGATTGGCAGATGAAATCAGAGCGACAACAAATTGAAGCGGCTCCTATTCCGAGTGAGGACACTATGCCTCCACCGCCACCATATGAAGAATTTAATGGTGTATTTGCTTCTCCAATGAATAATGGATCAACTGACAGCATGGGTTACTTTTTAGGAGAGGTAAGTAAAAGTTATTTTATTTTCTTCTTTTTCCCCCCCTTTTTGGAGATAGATAAGATTAAAAACTATATATGCTCTGAATTATGAATTTGACTGAAAGTGCTGCAATCTGTATGATTGCTTTTAGAATGTCTCTTTTCATTGTAATTGCATATATCTATTATTATGTCACAGGTATTGCACTCGTATCAAGCTGTATCTGATGTGGAGCTCAGTTTGTCGGTTGGTGACTACGTTGTTGTCCGAAAGGTTTGCAGCTTGCTTGAATTTAGCATCTCTATAGTTTTTTTGTGATACTCTTCTCCTTGAATTATAGATTTCTGTAGTTTAGCTTCTTTGATACTTTTCTTCTATTTTGAGTTCTAGAATACTAGCTTGTTTTTTCATGGGAATACAATAAACGTTGCCCTTACTTAATATCTCTTAGGATGGGCCACATGAAAATAAAATGAGATGTGCATGCATAGAAACACATTATTCCTTGGTCGATCTTTTGATTCTGGTTATCAAGCTGGATTTTGTAAATGAATCACACCATGCTCTTCTAAAATTTATTTATCCTTATTTTCCGACAATCCTAATAAGAGTTTCGGCAATTTAATGCTCAATTTATTGCTTTTGTGCTCACTTATTTTTGGGTTACTTTGATGAATTTGTTAATTGCATAAAAACAATTATAAGATATGCTGTCAACATAAATACGGGAACACCAGTCACTTGAAGCTTCTACCAATATTTTTTCTGTTTCCTACTAGATTAGCAAGGCATAGCTATAACAGCTGTTCAATAATTATTGAATAATGGAATCCTGATGAGCTCATGAGAATCTGAATAAATAACTTAAAAATTCATTCACTTCCTTTTTTCATCATTTACATGTCAGCATTGTATCTCATCATGAACTCGCCAATGTGGACCGCAACATTATCGATATTTTACGAAAAGATTTCTCTAGCTTTGGTTTTAGTATCTCCAAACAACGAAATTCCTCAGTTCTCCTGCGCTATCTCATATTAATGTCCTCCATCAATATTGTGGCTGCCATTCCGAACTCCAGGAACAGTGCAAGTATTAATGCTTTAGGGTAGACACACATTTTTTCCCAATTGGCACTTACCCTCAATCTCCTCCCTTTTGAGGTAGTTGGAGGAGATACCAATCTAAGGTAATGCTCGGTGGTAATAGTGGTGCAATGTTACTCAAATTTCCTTCCTTTTTTACTTTTTTCTCTTTTCCTCTCTGGTACCAAGAATACAAATTTTTGGTGCTTGGTTGATTAACCTTGCTGATGTCCATTTCCAAGCGTTTGGCTATATTTTTTCCGAATCCAATGCAATAATGATTTATGTTCTGCAATATTTCCAGGTAACAAACAATGGCTGGGCAGAAGGCGAATGCAAAGGAAAAGCAGGTTGGTTCCCTTTTGGTTACGTTGAGAGACGAGAACGTGTTCTTGCTAGCAAGGTGGCTGAAGTGTTCTAAAATTTTGTATGGCGTCAATTTTCAACTAGTGGTGTTTGTATGTTAGCTTTTGGTCTCTGGGCATACTCGAGAGTTGTTGGATCATGTGTTCGTTGTTGCATATATAGAACACAAGCACTTGCCTGCTTTTGTTTTGTGATATACACGGTGACGTTTAGCCATTCTTACCCTTTTTTTTTTTTTTTTTTTTTTTTTTTTTTTGATGAATTCTCAATTTCTTATCGACTTATGTATGCAATCTATTCTTTCTTACTCAGATTTACTTTCTTCTTCTTTTCTTTTTTATTTTTATTTTTTGGAAATGGATGGAGTTTTATGGCTGATATTGGTATCCAGTGAAGTTATATTTTGGTTTGGTATTCTGTTTTCTTGCTTGTGTTTCTTATTCAAACTGTGCTTATTCATGGTTTCACTCTCTGTATCACTATTTGGCGTCTTTAATTTTTTATAAAAAAAACGTAAAAACTAATATATTTATTTTTGGCATTATATATAATATCACATTGACCCTAACATATTTCTCTCTTTTTCATTATGTGGCAAAAGCTTTAGATGGTCATAAATTTGTGTTCGTTCTTCTGATTTTGATTGATTTTGGCTATTTTTTCGAGTTCTATGCATTCCAAAACGGTGATTTTTTTTGTCAAGAAAACCTTTTGAAGCCTTAATTTTGTTATATGCACAATGACTACCATTGTTTTGAATATCTTTCTTTCTATTCCACTTAACAAATACATAAGTAAGCAATTCGTCAAATTTCAGTACTTAGAATTCGTTTGTTTTAAAATATTTTCTTTGGAAAATATTTTTCTTTTTCATGCAAAATATTTTAGTTATTTTTATTTTTCGGTATTTAGCAAGAGTTTAAGTTGAGGTTAAATTTATCTAGTGGGGCGTTTAAAATAACTTACCAAAATTGATGGATAAGTTATTGTTGTTTAGTTTTAAATTTTTTTTTTTCTCTATAAATATTTTACAACAGCTAAACATGAGAACATAAGAAATATTTTACGTTCAAATAGACGGATTAATGTCTTATTCTTCCAAATATATTGTACAAACTTAGCAGTGTCACAAAACATTTGTATATCCAAAACATTGAGATAATTAGCTATGGTGATAAATCAGTGGTATTTGTTGAAGTTTTCGTAGAAATAAATGGGTGATTAGTCTGGCTAAGAAAAAACGAAAAAAAGTTATATTATGATAATATAGTTTATATATAAAAAGCTATTGTATACTGCTCTAATTAATATGATATTAATCATATAAAGACCAAGAAAGAGTTGATCATTTTATGGCCCTTTCTATGGATGACGAAGTTGTCTCAAGATTACCCCTAAAACTTAGTAGGCATAGTTGTACTAGTGATTTTTTTTTTTTTTTTTTTTTTTTTTTTTTTTTTGAAGTATTATATACTAGTGATTTAAAAAAAAAAAAATTATATACCTATGAAATTTTAATATGATCCCCACTAAAATTATCCAAAAAAAAAAACATGATCCCTTGCACAAAATATAGTGGAAAAAAAGTTTAAAAAAAATTGACGTAAAAATCAAAAATGAAAAAAAAAAAAAAATGAATAAGAGTAATACTTTTTATTTGTTTAAAAATTCATCATTAAAAATTCGACCACCCATTAAACATTAGACCACGTGTGGTCGAATTTTTCATCCCTTATGCTTGGTATATTTTCATTCAATCAGATATTAGACAGAATAAATAGTTAGAATTAAAAAGTAAGAAATATTGTGAAGAAATAGTTACAATAAATAGTTTGTAAATATACATAGGTGGCACGTTCTACTCTTGAGTCCTCCATCAGGGGGACGCAAATCGTCTGGTGTAATTATTTCTCACTCCTCTGCTGTCCATTGTCTTGTGGCCTTGATCTGGATACGTATTTCTTCATAAAACAGACATTAAATCTGCGTTTGGCAATTACACTACTATTTATAAATAACAGTTCACCACTATTTATAAGTAAAATCATATAAGTCTAAAAAGTAACATCACCATTTGTAAAAGGGAATATTACCACTTAGGTGATATATATATATATATACATATACATATATATATACATATACATGAACGATTTGAGATTAAGGTACTGAATATATATAAGTATATAGTATATAATATCACCATGTTGAATTAAGTTAGATTTATGTGTGAGTTTTAGTTTTAAACACTATGTAAATACTTTTTTTTGATGGTGATGGTGGTGAGTGTGGCAATTAATATTAAACTCTGCCAATTCTTTTTTTTAAAATATGTTAAATAATTTATACCCAAGTGTGTGTTTTTTTTTTAATATTTGGAAGGAAAAAAAAAAAAAGTTGTGGCTCTTTTCATTATATTTGGAAACATCAAGTGTTTCATTTGTTGTCTAAAGTTAATCCAAGTGACTTTAATTTTGGTTTAAATTCTTTAAATTAACATATTAAAGTGTTTTTAAAATACTTTAATTTCAAATAATAACATAAATATATGTTGAATTGAGTTATGTTTATATGTGATATTACTTAGTTTGCATTATGTGCATACCTTTTTTTGAGGGTGAAAATGGTTTATTTTGTTAATTTAGCTGTCAACAACCTTTATTATTTAAGTGGTAATGTTGCCATTTTACAAATGGTGATGTTACTTTTTAGACTCCTACGATGTTACTCATAAATGGTAGTATAATGTTTTTTTATAAATAGTGATATAATTAGTCAAACATGGTCTCAGTGTCTGTTAGCTGAAGAATGATGTGGCCAAATATGGACCACTTAAAAATTACTGTAGGAAACTACATGGGAACCACATTGTAGAGGATTCGCACCCCTATAAGGGAGGATGTCTATATATACTGGCAAGAGTCATATTTGTAACAAAAGATCCAAACTCTAAAATGTGAGGTTCAGAAATGTAATTTGGATGCCACCTTCTTTGCTCGCACAGGATGGGCTGGAGGCGGCCTTGTCTTCCGAAATCATTTGGCAGTTGTTTTGCGTGTTGTTGTCCTTAAGTCTTTCTTTGCCTCTTCAGCTCTTTCGGCTGAGGCTTTTGTCATGAGGGATGCTTTGCTTTGGGCTCGTAATTTTAGTTTTCATAGTTTATGTTTGGAGAGTGATTCTCCTATCTTATGCGAGGCTATGAATGGTGTCCGCCCTTATCCTGCATCCATCTTGTCTCTTGTTTATGACATTCGGCATCTATTGCAAGCTATTGCTGTTGCTCGAGTTGCGCATGTTCGTTGTGTTGCAAATTCGCTGGCACATCAAATTGCTATGCTTTCTCGCTCTCAACCTTGCTTTAGTCAGGAGTATTATGGGCTGCCTTGGCTCTATACTTTATATTTTCTTCTGTGTTTCTTGTTGTTTTGTTTTGTTTGTCTTGTAAAAAAAAAAAAAAGTGAGGTTCAGAAGTGAGTGAATGGACAAACCCTGTAGTGAGGGTATGTGATGAATAATTTGCATACTAGCTTGGAATGATTGGTTCAACTATCTATATATCTATAAAATGGAATGAGGACTGCTAATTGCAGTCGTCTTAGAAAGTTGCATGGTTGAAAAAGTAACTATAATTAATACACTATTAGTTTTATGGAGCATTAAAATCTTATTTTAAAAGACAAATATAACATATATATATAATTCATTCATTCTTTTTTTTTTTTTTTTTTTTAAAAAAAAATTATTTTTTAATTAATTATTTTTCAGTAGTCTTTTTATTGATGATGGATTCTGTATATATTAAATATTATTTATTTATACTTTAGATGTGGATTTTCATTACTGTAAATTTTCTTTGACGTAAAATTGTATAATTGAGTGTTAGTTTATTTGTAAAAAATAGAAGTGAATGGTTTAGTAAAGAGAAATGGAGAGAGAAGTATTGATAAGCGCTGAGAAGTGCGCATTTAAACTCCTTAAGCTTGAATGTTCTAGGATATTTATTTATCTTATTTTCCTGTTTTAGTCTAAGTTCATGTTATTTCCCTTTTAAGGTACTTATCCCCAAAATAAGTCAATTCAGCTGAATTAGAACATTAAAAGAAGCAATCTTAAGCCTAATAGAAGAAAGGAGCAAAGTGGTGAAGAAGTCTTCTATGATCGATCGAACCGAGTCATGATCGATCGCACTCCGATCGTTCCAACCATGCTATGATGGATCGAACCCCTTGTCCTTATCCTCAGGAAAATTTCCTATTCAATCTATCCAACCTTTCCTTCGATCGATCGAGCCTTTTGATCTTATCCTCACCTACCACTTTTGTCCTTTTCCAATAAATATCTTAGCTTTGTCCTTTTCCAAATAAATGCGCCGCCTTACTTCGATCGATCATAGCAACCGTGTGATCAATTGAACTTCCTCAAATTGCGTGCAAGATAAATTTCAAGCTGAATTGAAGGTGTGCTCGTGGTGCAATCATTTGGATGTTCTTGTGCACGAGGTCTAACCATTGGGTGTGACATTTGAGCTACCTATATAAGGAATTTGGTTAATTTTAGCAAAGAGGTTGGTTAGTTAGAGTAAGAAAGAGGGACTTGGTTAGAGATTAGAGAGAGAAAACATACAATTTGGGAAAATTCTTCCACTCATCTAGGGTTTCTACCAAGAACACAAGAAGAGGAGGATGAATTTTACTATGGAGATAGCTTTTGAGGGTTGGATGACAACATCAATGAGTGGCTAAACCATTCTCTTGGGGCTAGAGATAGCTCTAAGCATGCCTCCTAGACTTTGATGTTTTGTAATTAATGGGGATTTGTGTTGTAATTCTTGTCTTGACATCTTATATATATATAAATCTTATTTTTCATGATTTGTGTAGTTTAATACTTCCATTTGATTAATTAATTCTATCAATATGTCTGTGTATGCTAGAATGGATGTTTATGTGTTTATCTTTAGATTTTGTGACATTGATGCATATCTATGTGTGTTGATATTATGAATCTAGTGATGGTCAAGGCATGGTACTTGAATGGATTACTCTTGTAGTTTATTTGATAGTTTATACTTATTTCTTGATGGATTGTGCCACTTCCTTAGTTTAATTAGTTTAATTTTCATGTCACTAGCTTAGTTGTAGTGTAATTGCCTTACTTTCTTAGATAGGTGGACAATCCATTCTTGTTGTTTGATGTTCCATACTTATGAATGCAAGTGGTATATTTCTTTAATTTGTTGAGTGTGCATTAATTATGGGCTTATGGAAGGATTAATGGCTTAATTTGATATGTTGTGCTATTCACTAGATTGGCTAAACAATGTATGATTACTTGGCCATCTATGTTAATATTTCAATTAATGTTACACACTTTCATTTACAACACACAATCCCCCTAATCCATCAAATATTGAA